CCACCACCACCACCACCGCCACCCCTCGGCTCCGCTGAGAGAAAAAAAAGACCCTTTCCAGCCGCATCTGCACCCCAGTGGTGACTCCACTCGCTCCTCGCTCCGTCTTTGCGAAGTGCTCCCCGACGAGATTAGCGCCGTGATTTATAGATGCCCTTACAATATCTGAGTGTTAAAGATAGAGGGACACAGATTATAACCGGATCTTAAAATCCGCCCTCCTCCCCCGGCAAACAAACAAATAAATAAAAATCAGAGTGTTTCCGCATCCCTGTTAGCTCCAGGGGCCGAATTCTGCTCTTATTTACCTCTGGGCAACGCAGCTGACTTCAAAGGGAAGGAGAGATGTAACCTAGGGGAGAATTGGCGCCACGTATGGCATTCGTTCTCCTTAAAAGCTTGAAAACAGAAAGCTGGCTTCAGCGGGCTAAAACCATTTAAAAGGGGTTGGACATATCCCGGGGGAGAAGGCGGCAAAGGGAAAAAAAAAAAAATGCTGTGCTGAGGTGAGACAGCTTTGAAAAGCATCTTTCTTCAGGGACTGATTCCCTCCGTCAGGCAGCCCGGTTATTAAGAGCTGCGTGCAGATGTGCCGCTGTGTTTCCAGAGATGGAGTATCTCCTAAACCTTCTGTGAAAGGGTGTTACGTGTGATGGAGAGACGTTTCGTGGCCAGAGGTGGTGTGAAGGAGCTCGCCCCTGCAGCGCATAGGAGCTCCTCGGGGGAAGCCTGTCCCCTGAGATAAGCCGGCAGCGCACACGGCGAGAGGCTTCCCCGCCCCGGCACCCGCGGGGCTCTCCTGCGGGGAAGGCGGGTTGCCTTCCCCCCTCCGCCCTCGCATTCCTCCCCTTCCCTGAGCTCAGAAGTTCCAGACCTCAGCGTAGGAATGAGGATCACGCATAAATTGCAAGCGTCTCGCTGCCGAAAAGTTGAAGGGATTTAGGAAAAGGAACGTGCGAGTCCGGTGCCGGACCCACACGGTACGAGACGACCCGCCCGGGACAGGGTGGTCGTTTCTGGGTCCTCAGCTGATGCTGCCGCTGTTGCTCTGGATGGCAGTTTCCAGCCGAAACGGTGCTACTATATGTTTGAGGGATCTCCTTAGCAGTTCTCCTCAAATTCTCGCTTTTGTTTAAATAAAGTGAGAACGGCATCAATATGGGCGAGGAGCGCCCTTCCAAATGCCCGGGAATCCCCATCCACCCCGACCCTCATCCCCATTTCTAATACCGATTTTTAACTATGGATGTCAGGACACAGAGAAGACATTTTATTTTTTTTTAATGTATTTCACACCAACGCTTCCCTTCCCTCCCGAAAAGTTACAACACGAAATTTATTTAGAGACTGAATGGGAAGAAATCAGCGCTACTTGGGACGGGGCTAAACGAATTTTGGCGGTATTATTCGCTTCCTTCCACACACACACATTCCAGTTATCCGTGAAAATGGCAGGGGAAGCTATGAAGATGAGAGCTGGGTGTTCCCGCGGGGGGACACCAGTAAGGGGCGGCTGGCGGCTGGCAGCAGGCGAAGGAGGGAAGCGGTGTGTTCCCTTGAATGAGGTAATACGGAGAGAACTGCCTATCTCGAAAAACAGGTGCTCAAATGGTTCGGTATTTCCACAAGCCTCCTGTTTTCTTTGCTGAGGCTTTACCTAGTTGCACGTTTCCCGTCCAGACCCAGAGGTTTTATTGCATTAGGTCGGTTCAGGAGTTGGGCTGCAGAGGGACCCTCCGAGAGAGGAACGCCCCAGTCTCCGTCGCTCTGTCCCGGGAAAGAGCGACCTGACCTGCCGAGGTGAGGGAAGGTGTAAAAAGACGCGTCGCGACTCGCTCCCCATCTCCCTCCCTGCGGAATGTGGCAAATTGCAAATTCCAGATTCAAAATCTAGCTTGGCTGGGCTATAATTTTCCAGACATCCTGTTTATGAGGAGAATCATCTGAAGAAGTATTCTTAGTGCCAGCAAAATAAAATAAATTAAAATAAATTAAAAAAAAAAAGTGCAGTACATCTCAATGAACACTGAAAGAAGTTGGGGTTTGGGGGCTGTTAGACTTCTTTTTTTTTCTTTTTCTTTTTCTTTCTTTTTTTTTTTTTTTTTAAACCGGCACAGCATCACTACCCTAATGCCTAAAAGTAGCGATTGTGCTTCGGATCTCGGTCCAAGCACCGTCTAACGATCTTCCTTCCCAAAGGGCAGGTTTTAGTCACCTAAGAAAACAAACAAAAATGGGTGCTGGTGTAGGTGGGTAGCCTTCAGAATTTCCGCTCGCAGGGGAAGCGTTTAATTGACATTGTTTGGAGTGACTTTCCCAAAAGCCTGGGATCTACATTTTCAGAGATAAGTGAAAGTGTAGGAGCAAATCGACTACTCTTCTACTCGGTAATTTACCGTTAATTCAGCGTGGGCAGAGGATGGG